GGAGGTGCAGCAGTTGGTGTACAGGGAGAAGAGCAGAGGAGAAAGAACACAGCCCTGAGGGGAGCCGGTGCTGATGGTCCAGGAGTCCGAGACATTCTTTAAATTTGCTGTCCCCTCTAAATAACTTACAGCCATTATTGCCTAAACTGCTGGCAACAAAAGTGAGTACACCTCCAAGTGAAAATGTCCAAATTGTGCCCAATTAGCCATTTTCCCTCCCTGGTGTCATGTGACTCATTAGTGTTACAAGGTCTCAGGTGCAAATGGGGAACAGTTGTGTTGAATTTGGTGTTATTTCTCTCACACACTCTCATACTGTTCACTGGAAGTCTAACATGGCAAAGGATCTGCAAAATAGAATTATTGCTCTACATAAAGATGGCCTAAGCTATAAGAAGGGTGCCAACACCCTGAAACTGAGCTGCAGCACATTGGAAAAAGACCATACGGCAGTTTAACAGGACAGATTTCACTCAGAACAAAAAATAATCGTTGCCACGCAAAATATTGACACCTTGGGCACAGCTTGGACATTTTCACCTACAGGTGTACTCACTTTTGTTGCCAGCAGTTTAGACGTTAATGGCTGTATGTTGAGCTATTTTGAGCTGACAGCAAATTTACAATGTTATACAAGCTGTACACTGACTACATTACATTCTATCAAGGTGTCACATCTTCAGTGTTGTCCCATGAAAAGATACAACATTTTTTCAATAATGTGCAGGGCGTACTCACTTTTGTGAGATACTGTACATTTTCTCCAACATTAAAACCAGATCTGAATTTAAACTAGTCAAATATTGTCTATGTACTGTAAAAATATTAGCTGGCTAACCTAAGTTTGTTGTAAGAAGCCTTTTAGATATGATAGTCAACAGTGAAAAGCTCAACTTCAACAAACTGTTTGCAAACTGTTTTCTATGATGTCACTAAAGCATCAGTGTGGGTCTTCACATTAATTATTAGTAATAATTCCAGGATATGTGTTTAAAAGAGTGCAAATGTTCTTTGAAACAACCTTCCCTGATAACTTTTAGATTTTTGATGATTTATATTTTAATGCTTTGCACTGTATGTTATTCTTGATGGTGGACTTGGGTCTGGGACGCCTCTATTTTGAACTGATATTGCAATTAATTTTAGATGCATACATCATATTTTATATTTTCCAGTATTATGACTTTGTCCATATAAAAAACATACTGTAAATATACTGTATACATGCAAAGTATTATACACTGTCCCTTGATACTCAAACACTTTTCAAAAGCAAACTATAAATTTCATTTTGTTATTTATGTAAAACTATAGATAGCGAGTAAACACCTTTTCTAATAAATTTCCTACAGAATATGTAATTTCACCTGGATGTTATTGCACATTCTCACACATTTAAAACCCTGGGCAATCTTAATTTGGATGTTTTGACAAACTTGTGAATAATAACCTGGTCGAGCTGGGTGGTGTAATCATATCTTAGTCATTTAGAGATGCAGACACAGCAGCTATCTGGAGTCTCTCTTTTTGTTTCTGATCCTGGCATCCTCTACCTAACTGACACACTTCTTTATTCATGCAGCAGTGCTGATGACTCACAGCTGACTTAGGTTATTTCATATGCGTTGTTGTTCCTTGTGAACTTTTTTCTTTAGTCCAGATTTGGTGGCTTCACCATGAATCCCCAGTGCAGTCCAGTTCATCCAAACCATAATGCTTCAAGTAAAGCCAGTCAGCTGAATGCAAACAATATTTATTTGCTGACACTTTGAGGTGCATTAAACTTTTCACAGCAATAACAGACATCAAGATAAGCTTCTGGTGTTTTGTATCAGCAAACTGTTCCAAGAGGATGTGGTAAATACCACAATGAGCCAGCTGTTTTCAACCAATCACATTCATTCTTGTTCACTGTTTGAGCCAATCACATGAAGGCATTACAGTCCTAAAAAGCCACAAATACATATGACACATGCTCTTTGTTGTGTTCACAAACAGCGCTCACATACACACAGTGTGGAAATGTTAGAGTCTGTCTTGTTTCGGGTTACAGGGCCTCATCACTGCTTAAAGGATGAGCTCAGACTGCTGTTTGAAATATGTGCTCGGCCCGGAGTCGCTGCTTAGGTCAGTTCTTGGTAGTCAGTTAATGTCTGACGAATGAAAATTTACAGAGCACACAGATGCATAAATAATAAAAAAAAGCAGTTCCATGTCAAAACTGTACTTGCTTCAGAAATGAAGGTAATGTTAACATTAAGAACACAACGGCATGTGCCGCCATTTTGGTGTTACCTTGGCTGTTCATGCACCTCTTGAGTTTTGTAACTTGGCACAATTGCCACTATGGACGTATTCGAGGGAAAACCACGGTCCGTCTGTACAGGCATCTGTATGACACATAAATGCGAGAGCACAAGGACTCTCAAATGTCAATGAATTCACGGAGAGATTTCAGCGACACTGGGAAAGAAAGAATCAGTGTGTTACAGACTGTGGAAGAATCTCCGTGATCACTCTGTAAAGGCAAGAAAGAGGGTACAGGCTAGAAAAAAGCACCAGCAGGCAACAAGCCAGCCCAGATATTAGTAGAAATACACTGGCTGATGAGGTTTGTAAAACACAGAGATTGATAATTTATTTATTGATATTTTGTTTTAAGTCTTTTGTGTTAATGTACTTTTGCAGAATTGACTCTTTGGTGGTTGGCCTGTTGCACCCCTCACAGGCAGTTGTAGAAACTTTTTTTTCCTTCAAACATGACTCACTTGTACATTTTGTTCGGCAAATTTGCTCGTTTCTAGACACATCTCCAAAAGTTGATTCTGTTCATCTGGACGTAGCGTTTTCAGAGAGAAATGTTTCGTCACTCATCCAAGTGACTTCTTCAGTCTCAGCTGACTGCAGGTTTCCCCAGCCTTCCCCAGCTTTATTTAATGGAAAACGTCCACAACACTCTTCTGTGTTGTGCCATCCGCTTAGCCAGAGGTTGTTTGGTTTCCCCGATGTATAAATCCTGGCAATCCTCCTGGCACTTAACAGCGTACACTATGTTACTCTGTTTGTGTCGGGGGACCCGATCCTTGGCGTGAACCAATTTTTGGTGCAGTGTGTTTTGGGTTTTTTTAAGACACTGACTGTGCACTGTTAATGCTGTCCTATTATTAGACACTATACAGCAGGTATGAAGGTGGAAGAGAAGGAATCTCAGAATCATCAGGTAAAATTTATATGAATCTGTGCTGCACTTGATGTAACATAACTTTGACCTTTAAGCCACAGCCATTGTGCCACATTGTGCACCAGTCACACACTGCTCTTTTAATCCATCACAGTACACAGTAAACAAAAACACGAAATTGCCATTCAGATATTTTTTTCTTGTTTGACCTCTCACTCAGACATAATGGATCATATTATTGCACTTTCCACTTGTTGGTAATGTGCTTCTTATGCTTTATCTGTATTTGTTTGGGGACTTGTTATAAATCTGTCATGGTATTGCATCACGGACCCAGGGTTTGGTGTTTATTGGTTAATATTCGTGGATTATTGTCATTCGTGGTTTTCTGCTTGTGTTTATTCTTACTTCCTTGGCTTTAGGTTTGTTTCTTTGCCTTCCCCGTGAGATGCAACCTCAAAATCACTCACTTGTTCCATCATTACTAAAGAAAGTTTATTTACTTTACAAAGTTTATTTATTTCACATGACACCCACTCCAGGAGTTTTGTTTTCCACAAAATAACTGGTGACCCTCCTACTTGTATAAGAGGCACAGTCCAGTCTTAGGCTCCGCTCCCTGAGTGGAATAATGAGTCTATGTGAGTACAGCTGCGAGTGTACGCTAATTATTGAAATTAGAATTTAAAAAAAGAAATAATAAATGATATATCTACTGCTGCCAACTGGAAACAGTTGCAATCATATCAGCGTCAAGCTTGGCTGAGAGCTGGTATCGCTGTGGTGTTTTATTACAAAACACATGAACACGGTCAAATTGTGCAACTTTGAATAAAGCCCTAATAATGAAAAGCATTTTGAAGTTGTGTTCTGGTTATTTTTATTATTATATTCACATATATATTTTTCAGATAACAGATACATACATATATCATTGCTTTTACATAATTGGATCCCAAGTATGACATATTTTGCTTGTTATAACTGGCAGAAATTGAAAGTGATCACCAAGGCTTGAAGTGAAAACACAAATTGATCACACACTTTGAGTGTCACACATGATACAAATGATTTTTGTTTTTCACTGAATCATTATGGACTGATAACAAAGTGATATCTCATCATCTTAGACATGTTAAACACATTGATGGTCTGCCAGAACATGTCTGAAAACATGTATTTCATTAATGACAGCTGAGCATTTTTGTGCCAGAAAAAACGTTCCAGTTAAAACCACTCTACAGTTTGTGTTGCTCTCTCTCGCCCTCTGTTGTTCAGCTCTGAACATAAAGTTTTGCTACTGAGGAAAGGAAACTTTCCTCAGTAACAAAACTGAGGCTTATCTTGCTATAAAAATCAACCAATTTCAGGGCAGACGCAGGGCAGATAAAGACATGGACCCCAGTGAGTCATTTGAGTTCCTGTGCATAGAGATTGTCTTATATAAAAAACAGCTGAACTAGGTCCCAGTTAGATGGTAATGTGTGTTCTTATGTTGGGTTGTAGTGACAGCTGTGTGCTCTGCTGCAGGAGCAGGTAAGCCAGGGGTGTCCAACTCCACGCCTCGAGGGACGGTGTCCTGCAGGTTTTAGAGGTGGCCTTGATCCAACACAGCTGATGAAAATGGCTAAATTACCTCCTCAACATTCAATTCAATTCAATTCAATTTTATTTATATAGCGCCAAATCACAACATAAGTCGCCTCAAGGCGCTTAACATGTCTTGAAGTTCTCCAGAGGCCTGGTAATGAACTAATCATGTGATTCCGGTGTGTTGACCCAGGGTGAGAGCTAAAACCTACATGACACTGTCCCTTGAGACCTGGAGTTGGACACCCCTGAGGTAAGCAGTTTATTTAACTTTACCTCATTTGAATCGAAGGCTGATCCAGGTCTGATCCATGTCTTGTCTTCCTGCAGTAGGTGCTGTAGTCGCTGCCCCTGCTCTTCTGGGAGCTGCTGGTTTCACCTCAGCTGGAATAGCTGCAGGCATGATGTCATTTGCTGCAGCTGCTAATGGAGGAGGAGTGGCAGCCGGAAGTTTTGCAGTCAGCAGGTAAATTAATAATTTGATGTTTCATTAGGATTTTAACTTGTAACAACATCCAAAAATAAAAAGTTCATGAAAATATCATAATTTTAGATTAGATAATGACACTATGCTGTATCATTATGATAATTATGGTCATTATGATAAACATAACTATGACATCATCAATGATATCATTACAACAATAACTGTGAATAATGATGATGATAATGATACAGTTCATGGATAGATAAAGTTGGCTGTCATCTTTACAGCAGTGCATGCTATGACTTCTTATGATGATAATGATAGAGTACACTGTGATATCAGCAGGACTGAAGTGATATTTAGTCATTAGGCACAGAGCATAAGTATTTATCACTTTCTTTGTCTAATGGTGCTGCAGGTGCAGCTGGTATGTCAGCTACTGCTGGTCCCGCTGTGGCTGGTGCTGGAGCAGCAGTGGGTTGGTTGGTGAGTTTCATCAGCTAAAAATCACGAAGAACTCGTATATTTGCTTTATGCCAAAACTGGAAGTCTTGTTATTCTTCTCAAGCTTGTTTTCATCATTGTGTTTTAATTGTGTTCATTATGATACATTTATATTAAAATTAAGTATTACGGTGCAAAGTTTTAAACCGCAGCTAACTGTATACACAGTTACAAGGAAAAGACATGATTTTGTGTACAAGTCAGAGAGACAACTGAACGTCTCAGTGAAACTAAATCTGTTTTCATCTGTTCTTTTGGAACATTTGTGTGTGGCATTTTCAATCAGCTGTCTTGTGGAATAGCATCCAAAACACTGATGGACTTTTATTATGTACAGCTGTGATATTCTCTCAGAAGTTGAGAAAATATCAGGGCTGAAAAGCCATATTTGAAAAAGTCTTTATTTCCTTCCATATCTGCATCTCAATTTATATTATTGTGGGTAATTTAATAATTCTTACAGGCTATATGAAGGGATAACATTATTATAAAAAAAATACAGACTCATGTATGTCTTCCCAGTGCATGTGCATGCTTTCAAAGATAACTCAGATGACACCAAAAACTCAACTGCAGATATGGAAGTATGTGAAATGTTTTTTTTCCAGTGTCACATTACTGCCACATGCCCCTTTTCATATGACAAAACCAGTTTTAATTCCACCTTGTTTATATATTATACAGCTTTTTACCAACTTCATAAGAAAAAGAAATTCCATGATGAGTGGTGTGTTGGTGAAAAAAGTACACTGAGATGATACAACAAAAAATGCAGCATGAAGCAAAGTTGGACGAGCTGTTATTTGTTTAAATTGATCTATGAAACAGATTTTATGAAGGGATCTCTTGATAACTGCACTGAGTGATTTTGTTTGCTGAAATGTTCTATTTCCAATTGTAAACTTTTTTTCAAGAGCAGTAATTAAAAGGATAGAACAGCAGCTAGTTTGCTTTTCTTCCACCTCAATTTACAGAGAAATAGTGCGTTTTGGGAACATTTCTTCCCATCTTTTTGGAACTACTATCAAGTACTACACAAACAGTAATGTAGTTCACACACACTTAGTATAAAGTTGGTAGCTTAGAGTATTTCTTGGAACTGTGGGGAAATGCATGTATTGTCTGACTTAGATGCAATAGTGTTGGGAATTCTTCCAGCAGGACCCTGCTGTGAGCATGAGAGTACTGACAGCAATGATAGTTATACGAGGATTATGAGGACAGCAAAGTAGATAAAGTTTATGTTCTTACACAGTTTTCTGAGTATACACTTAATCTTTAAACAATGGAGGAATTATTCACATTCTTCACTTTACAACAAAGTACTAACATCACCCTGTGAACATTACATCCTGTATTTGTAGCATTAATATTATGTGAGAACAATGCAATCAGTAAAAATTGGAATCAAAGAGCTCAGAAACAGTTTTGTTTTTTTTTAAATATTTTGTTTTGTTTATATTTTTATTTATTGTCAACAATCTTCATTTAATATTATATTACAGCAAATTTGGTTAACTATTTCTATTCAGCCCTGACACTGGCACAGCCAGATATTCAAAGCCTTCATTTTTAAAAAAAAATCAGTTTCATACATTGAATAGTTTTCACTTCTTACAAAATGTAATTCTCAGAGAAGTTTTTTTTTCTTTTTTTTTAAATTCAAGTCATTTCAGTTTTATCTATACAGCACCAAATCACAACAACGGTCGCTTTATATTGTAAGGCAGACGCTACAATTTATGTCACAATAGCAGGAAGTCAGGACCTGAAATTCAGACTGGGCAGACCGTTCTATCACAAAGGTTTGTTTTTTATTCAGAGGCAGTGTGACCAAGAAGTCAGAGGACTTAGGCTGAGGGATTTGCGTAGAGAGAGTGATAGAGAATTGATGGGGTGTTTCAGATAATCTGGGTTAACTGTTCCCGTGAAATTTCAGGAGCTAAGAGGGGTTAGTCCGTATAAAGCGAAAAAGGGAGGGATCAGTGGCCAGCGGGCAGGCAGGTAGAGGGCTCAGAGTTCCATGATCCATTCACAACCATTAAGGGGAGATAGCTTGAGGTCTTTGACCAGCGCGATCTGCTTAAGCTGACCAGCTGGAACAAATAGAGAACTAGTTGCCACATAACTAGAAGTAGAAATAAACACTAGTAGGCAGATCTGAGTACCACTGAAGAGGTGAAGAGTCTGGTGAAGCTCTGTGGCACAAGGCGTCCTTAAATACTACCTGCTCCATGAAGCGATGCAGCTCAGCAGGAAAGATCGGTGTCCAATTCTCGGACTCTGCCCTAGGGTGGACCCCTAGAAGGAAAAAGATTTTCCATGAAACAAGGAGAGAAATTCTGGGTGCATGATAATTTGATCTCTTATCAGTCCAATTTAACCCACAAATCTGAAGCTTCAGTCCCTAAATTAACCAAATGTAATGTTTCTTTAATCAGCACAGTAACCTTCAGCTCTGCTAATCAGTATAAAGATGTTTGTAGTCAAATATGAATTATCTAACATGAAAAACGTGTATTGAGTAGAACAATGTGATTCCTTTCAAAACAGGAGTAATTGTTACTAAAAATGTGCTGTACTGTACTTTAATCATGAAAAACAAGGACTTTTCAAACTGAGTCCAATCTTTTGAGCAGTAGTTTATACTGTTTGTTTGTGTCTGACTGCATCTGATCAAGGTTTTGTCAGCATTTTGAAACAAAGACTCAACTTTCTAGCTCTGTATTTCAACAAAAATTGAGCTGAACTATTCCAATGGCGGTGAAAAACTCTCCCTGACAAGTCCACTTTTGGCGTTTTGTTATCAGTGGCTCATGTTTAACAAATCCACTTTTGCATTCGTATTAATACTGATCTGTCACGCTTATCAGTGGCTCATGGTTGCTTAAAGCCTATGTCTGTACTTGAGCACAGAGGCAGAGCATCATTCAATCCTGCCAGCTGCCTGTCTTGGCAGCATTTCAAGGATGATAGACTCCACTTTCTCTGCAGCAAGACAGCTCATAACTTTTTAACAGTCTGTCCCTGTACTGATACTCTACATCATCTGCTTTAATCAATAACCATGGACTCTCACTGCAATTTACGCTACAGCTCAAAAGTTTGAATCAAGTTAGAAATGTCTTGTTTTATGAAGAAAATAAAGGTTAGTTTGATGTTGAGTAACACAAAATTAATCAGTCAGGTAAAGAAATATAAATGCTCAATAGTAACACTGAGCATAACTCAGGAATGAGGTTGGAATATCTACTACGCAGGCCCATTTTCATCAACAGTGCCTCCTGTCTTCCAGTGGTACATTGTGTTATCTACTGTAAGTTTATCACATTAAATCCCAACTTATCAGTCAAGAACACTTTTACCAAAGATATCAGCACAGACCAAAACTACTTTGCTGATTAAGAAAATAATACATGTTCCCATATTACTGTGTGGATCATCCCATTTTCTCTTTTCACATTGATTAATCCAAGTTGGCACTTTTCTGTAAACACAGTGAACATTTGGATGTGCCACTGCCTTCAGCTTTTTATCAGCTTCACTCATGAAAGAACTTTTTATTTCTAAAAAAAATTGCTTTTTTAAATAAATCATTTACAAATCCTTTACTTCCACCTATTTCAAGACTTTATTAGAAAAAAGCCAACAAAAGCCCCAGATCCCAAACAAAACCATATTTGTTTTTGTGATCTCTGCAACAATGGTCACAGTGGCTGATTTAATTTAAGCACATTTTGCCCCATTGAAATCATCTGGGTAACAAATTAAGCCTTCATACTTATCAGGGTGCAGGAGTGGGCTCATTCTTGTGTTAGCTATTAATTCCATCTTATCCGAAGCTTACATAACACGGGTATTTTCTTCTTTTTTTTTCTTTTTTTTAAAACTGGCTTTCTTTACATACACAAATTTAAAAATTTCTCAGGTCAAATCACTTCTACAATGTTTTTCTTTCATTTTTGATGAACACCTGTCTGTGCTAATTTTTACTGTGTACTTTTCATGTTGACATCCCCCAGGACAACATCACAAAAACCTGTTTTATTGTGAATAAATATGTGTGATGGCTCTTAGAACTCTATATCCTCTTCCAGGTTTTGGTGGCTACTTGTATTTAGAGCGATATTTGTCACCGTGGTTAGTTACTCAGCTGAGACTATATATGGACCTCAGCAACCTCAGTTTCTATCACTTATTCTTCCAGGTCATTTGGGATTATTTAAATTTTGTTTGTTTACACACGCATTTACACACTACACAAATTACAGACAAACTGGTGATATTCTTGACTTTTAAATACATTTATTTTTTTTCAGTGAGGTGTATATATTTTGTCTTTCCCTTTCAGCCAGGGGTGTGACATGAATGGTGGCTGATGTATGTGATGACAGTTACACATAATTAAGGGTAAACGCTAAACTTAATCACCTGAAATCATCATAACATTTAGATTTTCTGAAAAACGAACACATTTATTGTATAATGATAATGTGAGTAAAGGATGAAATACACAATGCGCTTGTTAAGATATTTACCAGTGAAATGCAGAGACTCATTAGTTAATTCATAATGTTACAGATTTAGGGTCTTTCACACAGGAATTGGTCAACAATTGAATGACTATAAAATATATTGAGTCTTTGGATGCACTAATGAAGCTCTGAGGTGTGCTGGATTTCATCACTGTTAGTAGAAACAAGTCATCTGACTGACATACAGAAGGTCAAGACCTCAGCAGGACAGTTCATCCTCAACATTTAATCTTATTCAGCTTGTTTTAGAACTGCAGAAGCTTCTTGGATGAGAGGTGAATTGTCTTCATGAAAATAAATGAAGTCCATTCGCTTTCTTTCCAAGCTCTTTAAAATAGACAGCTTATTGTAGGTAGGTTCAAAACAGCTTTACATTGATAAATGTTTCTGTGGATTAATGTAGAAATGCATTAAAGCACCATAGTCAAGGGAACAGGGGAAAGAGGCACATAAACTCTGACTATCTTGCACTGCCCTCTGCTGAGAGTGAGTGAAAACACTTTTACTTCATTTTGATTCATTTGAATCAAAATGACAGCCAAAAGTTTGAAGTTCATTTTGAACTTGAATATAACTTTTATATAACTCAATTTATATAGCACCAATTCACAAAACAGCTATATAATATAAAGTGTTAGTACTTTAAATGGTTAAGGAGATTTGTGTGATAGTATTATTTACTTGTCTAAGATGGTACAACAATGATACCTCCTAGATTTTGGTGCTTTTTAATAAATCCTTGCAGCATAATGTGCTACAGTCATATTTGTTATATTTCAACATGTGCTATACAAAACTCAGATGTTTTTGACATAATTACATAATGACTGATATAGTTACATATTATGGTTCTTCTTTACATCTACATCCTGAAAGACTGTTTCTCTGTGAGGAAATCCCAGTCTGCTATGGCAGCTCCAACATGCAGTACATTTTTTGATAACTTTAATACATACAAATATGTTTTATAAAGATACAAAAATAACAGATGAGATTTTTTAAAAAGTGTTTATTTTTTGTTATTTAGACCAATATGGGGACATATTTCAGTTCACATTTTTGCGTCGTTATGACATATTATTGTTAGTTTGGTGAGGGCACCAGGAATGCCACTGTGCTGGACCCCAATGCAGTATCAACAAGTCTCTGCTGGTCATCAAAGAAGATGTGAGGCCTGATCTTCACAGACCAGATTCACATATTAGGTCTTATTTAGAAAGTGTTGGGCAGTGAATGTATCAGGATCACTTAAAAGAGCAAAGATTATCTCAATGTAATCGCTTCCATTTAGGGTTATTTCAATAGAAACAGCTGAGACCTTTAACAGCTCTGTTCTAACGCATCCTCCTGAGTTCATACCTACATGGACGTCTCAGTGGTAGATTTCAAATGACATGGAACATATCAAAAATCTAAGAGAGATGCCTAATTGAATTAGTAGTGAATCTCTTTCTCTATCTTTAACTCACCACGTTTTGTGATCACTTTCTTCAGTGAGTCTGATGAGCTAGCGTTGATGAAGATGACCTTGAAGAGTTCCTCAGTCTGCTTTTCAAATTTATCATTCACAGCCTGCAGAGACTTGAATTTGAGTGAGAAATAAAACTTAACTTAAATGTAAATTTAGCCAGTTTTCTGTGGTTTTATGTTATATTATACCATTTAATTTTTGTATTATAATCTGTGAATGGTCCTAGGCTGCACTTACATGGCATTGTATATGAAGTATATATGTCTCTGCTTTCTTTTGGTTTTTTTAATTACGAACCATGTCACTGTTAGATATACAGGAGTTGAGCCAAATGCATCCCTGTAGTGCACAGTTACCTTGGATGGTCTTGCAAGGTCATGATTCCTGGCAGAAAATTTGTGCGAAATGAAGAGTTTCCCACATTTTTCTGCAATGCAGCATATTTGAGGAGAGGGTGGCCTCCTTTAAGTTCCTCAGCACCCACGTATCTGAGGACCTATCTTGGTCCACAAACACATCAGCCCTAGTGAAGAAAGCCCAGCAGCGCCTCCATTTCCTGAGGGTTTGGAGATAGAACAGGCTGCAGACTGACCTACTAGTGTCCTTCTACCGAGCCACTATCTGTGTGGTACGCTGGTTGCACGACAGCTGACAAGAGGAGACTACAGAGGGTCATCAAAACTGCAGAGAAGGTGATCGGCTGTCCACTGTCCCCCCTGGACTCCATTGCCAGCTCGAGATGTCTCTCCAGAGCCAGGGGAATTATAAAGGACTACCTCCACCCTAACCACCACCTCTTCAACATCCTGCCCTCTGGAAAAAAGTTGAGATTACTAAACTAAAGAACAGCTTCTTCCCGTGGGCTGACAGAACTCTTAATGCAAACTAAGAGTGTGAACAGACTTCTCCAACACATCCACTCTGACGCTTCTAATCAACTATGTTGCTGCCATCCCATGTGCAATATCTCAGTCTTTTCATGTTCTGTGCAATATTTTTGGCCCATGTGTAATATCTTTGGTATGTGCAATATTTTGGTCTCACTGGAACTACCACCTCCACCCTAACTGACCATAGCCACTCCACCCTTATTTATTTATTATATTGTATAACTGACCTTGTATGCAGCCCACAATGTTTCTCTTTCAATGTTTCTACGCATACACCATGTACATTGTTACTCACATATATGTATACATATATATTGCTTTTTTTCCCTCATTGTATATTGTTTTCTTTACTTTTGCACCTTTGTGGTCCATCTACCCAATTTCGCTGTGCAAGAAACCGCACAATGACAATAGAAGCTGTAAGTCTCTTTAAGTCTTTATTTTCTCTTTTATTCCCAGTTTTGCACATTTACAGTTTCAGTAGTGAAAATGGTTTCAATGTCCAGATTCTGACATAATCAAGTTTTGACCTTAGCAGATTAGTGTGTGTGTGGCTGCAGGAATGTGAAAGATAATAAATATGTCACCAGCCCATCATTATGCATATCTGATATCATATCTCACAGTACAATAATATTGAATGGGTTGCATTGTTGTACTTTGTCATGTTTCTCAGGTCTTTGTCTGAATTTCTACCAACATTACTTGTCATGTTCTCATGTTATTGCTAAGGATTGTCTATTGCATTGGAGTCACACTGGGTTAAATATGTACACTTGGGTTTTAAGGGGTATTTATTATTTTCTTCTTTTTTGGGTTGTATGGAAGCCCCAAACGCAATTTCATTGTTCTTGACAATGACAATAAATAAATACTATACTATGCATAACTCTGAATGAAATGGTGTTATTTTTGGTGTATTTGTTGAACACAGAATCATGATTTACATGTGATTTTGCTGATAGTTAAGGATGCTTAATTGCTTATTATTGATCAGAATATAATCAGGTGTAAGTTTAATAAATAAAAGGGATATAAAAAATATAGTGATAATTCTAAGACAGGCCTCACACTGATGTCGGGATGCTGCTTGGCAAAATCTGATATTTCATTCCTACCCAGTATCATGGTCCTCCAGTTTCCTGCCTTGCCCGCTTCTCTCTCTCTCTTTGTCTCTAACCACACTTTGTTTTGCAGTGTCTTCCTCCAGCATCTGGCTGACTGCACTTGGGTTGACTTTGGTACTTGCCTCATCATCCGGTTCCTTTAAGCTGGAGGAGGACTGTCATTCAACGCCGGACTGCTAACTAAACAGTTAGTGAAGCTTGGTTTCTGCCACATTTAATCATTTGTCTTCTTTGTTTGCCTTGAAGCTGCCACTTACCTTCTGTTCCTGTTTGTACAGGAATCGAGTGTGAGGGCTGAGTGAGTGTTTGGACTGTGAGTATTTTGGGGTCAGTTTGGTGGATTTGTCTCTGGCCATCCCTGTGGCATGGATGAGTGGCCTTCTGGATAACCTGCTGTTCTTGAGATATAGTTTGCAAATTCGTTACTTCCCTGTGTGAATTGCCGGGACTGTAAATAAATGCTGGTAATTCCTTAGTCCACATTTTGAATCCTTCCAAGCACTCACCATGATGCCCAGACTCTTGGTACCCGCAAAGATTACAGTAAATACACTCTTGCATTATTCAATTCAGGTGCTGAGCAGAACTTTATTGATCATTCTCTTGCAGCAAAAATAAACATACAAGTCCTTCTGCTTCTTTAAACTCTGCCTGTCTCTGCTCTAAATGGTTCCCGACTCAATGACTCATAGAACACTAAACCCAAAAGAGAAGTTATGGAAAAAGACATCATCGAGCAATTATTCAGTGGTAAATATGTATATAAATGTAATAGGTTAATAATGAATGTTTAAAAACGTTCCTGTGATTATTTTCATGTTGGCTTGAAATAAAATATATTCCTCTGGTGTTACTGCAGCTTACTGTGAAATCTCAAGCTGACCAATCTTGCCATCATTTATTGTCAACACTTAGGCTACGTCCACACGTACACGGGTATTTTTGAAAACGAAGATTTTCTGTTTTCGTTTATAAAAAAATCCCGTCCACACATAAAGCCAAAAACGAAGTGAAACGCTTCTATAAACATGCCAGTGTAGCAGGTGGCGCTATATTCCTATCTGTGTAGAAATGTTGGCCAATCAGAAGTCAATAAGCCTGGGCGGGAAAGAGTAAACAAAGATGGCGCATAGAAGGAGAACTGAGTCGTATGTGTGGAGGGACAGTAACTGTGTGTGTGTATATGTAAGCATTTAAGCACTGCAGAGAGTAAAATTAACAGTAACATTTTGTCTAAATCCGCCATTGTAGAAATTCATTTCACTGAAACAATAACGTGGCGCACAGTGTGACGTCAAAAAAGGCGCACACCTTTGACGCTGCGTTTTCTCTGTTTATCTCGTCCACACGTAATAGCAAAAACCGAGTTTTTGAAAATATCCACCCTGGCAGGAGTTTTTAAAAATCTCAGTTTTCAATGACCGAAAACGGCGTTTACGTGTGGACGAAAGGTGCAAACGCATAGAAAAATCAGCGTTTTCAAAAATACCCAGCGTCAGCCAGGTACGTGTGGACGTAGCCTTATGAACATTTTTTATGTGGTTGTATTTCGGATGTTTATGAAGTTCAGGTCATTATAAATGATAATGAACTGTTGATGGTAAGGATACATTCTCATAGTCGTTCTCTTCATCACTAGTTTCCTCTTCCTTATCATTATCCACACCTAATGATGGTGAGGATATGTTCTCATAGTTGTCTTCTTCATCACTAGTTTCCCCTTCATCTTCCCTGTGACCGTCTACGCTCACACAGGCCTCCTTGGGCTTGTTGTAATTGTCATTTGGGCTCACTTCCTCATAATCATGATCTTCATCACTCACTGGGTCATCATAATCATCACTCGCTTCTTCATCCAGTACTGCAACTTCTTTGCTTTTTTCATTAGTTTCCACTGCATCAACATTCACATAGTCCTCCTCATCATCCTCTTCATCTGCATTGATATAATTATGCCTGACTCTGACAGACACTGAAACACAAGTAAGGGAAAACAATGCAAATTTGTAATATGTATGAACATGTAAACAATGTGATGAATAATTATTTATAATTGTGTGTCCTGGTGAGCACACACTTTGACTTTGGACGAGGATTCCAGGCTGCTTGGTTGCTCGTGGTCTTCTGCACAGCAGCCACATCACTAATGGCAGCAGCAGGAGCAGCAGCAGGACTCCAACAGATACCGAGGACACCAGCATCATCAAAGACACTAGGAAGAGAAAATTTGATCAGTTTATCCATAAAAACTACTTCTCATTTATGTTTCAGTCGAGAGCATGTAGTTTTCAGCCACATCGTATGTCATTCACACCAGTCTAGTTTCAAGAGTTTGGCTACAGAACACTGTGCTCAGCAGGAGCAGATACACAGTCAACAGTCAACACTACACGCTCAACTTAAAAACCTACTTACTTACTAAAAGTAGTTGTAAAAATATGACAGCGTCCCCAGCACCAAAAGAAAGAAAGGCTAAATTAATTCAATTAGATGAAACCAGTAAAAAACATAAAATCATTTTCATCAATTTAATGTAAGCAGTTATTTACAAGTTTAAACAGTCTTAACAGACTGTCTCAAAACTTTACTGTGGTTCACTAGTGATTACTGAGAATTCTGCTGATGACAGACAGTATAATGTCCAGACTGAGAGAAAGCTAAAACAGGAAAGATGGTTAAGAAAGCTTATTCTATTTTTATTCTATTGTATGCAGTATATTATTTGATTCTATTCTATTATGTACAGTATCTTATTCTTATCATTTTATCCTATTCCAGTGTTTTTCTAATTTTTGCTATGAATAATAATCAAAGTGTTTTTATTGAGTTTTCAGAAAGCATACCATTCATACAGAAAAGCTCGAACTCAAGTCCTACCACACAGTGTAAGACAAAACTATAC